GGTGGTGTTGCTAAAGCACAGAAAGGGAGACAAAACAATAGGAAAACAATCCACAACCAAAAAACATCAGGTGATCTCAGGTTACCCTTTCCTGTAACAGGATTAAGGCAGAGGCATCATCATTACAAGGCCAATTGAAATGGCCTGTTTGGGATTTCACTGTTAAATTTCTCTAATCTCTGTTTCTTAGAAAATTAGATAAACAATTAGTTTCCCCTTGGTCAAATGGAAGCCTATTGTGACTCCATCTTGATTTTTTTTTTCTGAGACAGGGTCTCACTATATATCCCTGGCCGACCTGGAACTCTTTGTGTAGACCAGACTGGTCTCACTTCACAGAGATCTGCCTGCCTCTGTCCTCTGTCTCTCTAGTGCTGGGATTGAGGAGCCACCACACCTAGCTTCTCCATTTGATCTTTAGGTTGGTCTATTGGGACCTAATACAGTCGGTTCTCTAGTTCCACACAAAGTAGGTGTTGTGGTACAGCCTGTAATACCAGCACTTGGGCGGTGGTCACTGAAAGATCGGGAGTTCAAGGCTACCCTCAGTTATATAGCAGTTCAAGGCCAGCGAGGCTATTTAAGACCCTTTCTCAAAACAAAAAGACAGTTATCGACAGCAAAGTTAACCCTTTACTTTTTTGTACTATTCAGTCTCTCCACAGTGGCTGACACCCTCATAAAAAAAAAAAAACCATCTGCTTTACTCAGTCCCCCAGTTCAAATCCTAACCTCTTGTGGGAAACACCCTCACAGACATACTTAGAAATAACAGTTAACGCAACTATCCGCACAGCCCCGGTCTCATTGATAGAGAAAATCAGCCTTTGCAAGAAGAAAGTTGGAAGTTCAAAAATGTGTTCAAGTGCATATGAGAATTTACTTTATGATGAACGAAGGTGGTACTGTTAATCCCACTAGTGGAGAATCAGAGCACTACCACAGTTTGAAGCCAAATTAGAAGCAAGCTTTAATGAAATACTGGCCGGGTGGATGGGATCTGGCCAGGTCCATACCCAGGTTCCTCAGGAAATGGCCCCGAATCAAGTATGGCAAGGGCTTAAGAAGGAAAACCATTGCAAAGTTCATTGCATTTGCCATGGGGGCCAATCGGGGGCAAGCATATATCCTGACATAGGTCCTGCCTACGGACCTCCCACATGTCCTCACGCACATCTGGTGCAGATGGGCCTAATACACTTGTTTAGGGGAATGAGAAACATGTGGCTTATTATCTTCCATAAGCAGTAGCCTCCAGCGTTTCAGGAAGTGTCTGTCCTTGCAGATCACAGGCATTTTTGTTTATTGGATCCCTAAAGCATAGTAATTAAAACTTAAAATGTAACTTTGACTCTCACAGCATCTCAACCCAGTGAAGAAAAAGGACAGGGCATTCTATAAAATACATTGTAAGGGCAATGCTTGGTGGTAAAAGGGAAGCTGGATTTAGCATTCAAACTTTACACAATATATTAAATGTACAAAATGGCATAATGGGAGCTGGGGATACAGCTCAGCGGTAAAGTGCTTCCCTAGCATACGCGAGGCCCCACATTTAACCCTCAGTACTGCGAAACAGGCAAGCAACATAAAAGTTCATAGAGAAATCCTTCCAGACTGCAAGCAGAATGGAGCTCTTTCAACTACAAAAGAAACCAGAGGTCTGAAGAAACACAAGCCCTCTAACTTGTGTTAGACTACATTTCAACATTTCTTACGAGGAAACTTACAAACATTAGGCAAAGTCCAGAGCTGGACTGCTCATGAGGTTGGCCTTTGTGACCTACACATTCAGTTTGCTATACTGCTATCCTTCATATTTAAAAACTGATAAAAAAAAACTCTGAAAAGAAAACCAGAGGGTCAGTGGCCTTTGGAAGGAATTTCCAGTACAGTTTATAACATAGTATCCTAGTTTGCTTTCTGTTTTCTTGTGAAGGGAAGGATTTATTTCATTTTTACAGCTTACAGCCCCTTTTTAAGAGAAGCCAGGGCAGGAACTCAAGCAGGAACCAGAGAAATTGAAACAGGCGATGGAGGTGCACTGCTTACTGCTTGCTCTCCGTGACTTGCTCAGTCTGCTTTCTTAGAGCACCCGCCCAGAGGCGGCATCGCCCATAGTGGTCTGGGCTCTCCCAGATCAGTTATTAGTCAAGAAAATACCCCCCTCAAGATTTGCCTATGTGCTAATCTGACTCTAGTTTTTGTCAGGATGACAAAAAATACAACCCGTCTGCATAGATAATTCCGTAATTAAGGCAATGTTACCTGAGGATTTCTACATAGTTAATGGTTAATGGGGGAAGGAGAGACACTTTTCCTCAGTGGTGTAGCCACTGGTAAGGTGCCCATCCTCCTATAGGTGGCCCTAATCAATCTAAGTGGGTCATATAATGTTTTTTTAAAGACATGAAAAATTGGGAAGAGGGAAGTATTAGATTTTGGAGCACAGAGTAAAGAGACAGAAGGCGGGAAAGAGAGCAGAGTCTGACCCGATGTCATCTCAAAGGATGAGACTGTTTCTTTCAAACAGAAAAAAGACAGGCACTTTCCCATGGGGTAGAGGTTTTCTGTAGGGGAAAAGCTCGCTGGGACCCTTCATGGAGATTGGGGGCAGGGTTTGGGAATGAGGAAGTTGATGCAGCTTTAGGAGATTATGTGCAGGTCTGCAGACTCTCCTTCCTGAATTTGTTTGCCCAAGCCAGACAGATTTTTTGGGGAGATAAGCTGTTCAGCAAACATTCACTTCTGGGTTGTGGCTGACAGAGAAGGATGAGAACACAGACATCGGTAATTTCATGGAAATCCTGTTTTTACATCCAGGTCCTCTGTCATCTCAGACCCTGAAGCGTAGAAGAAAGTGAGGGACGGGGTCAGCAATGATTTCTTAACGGTTTAGTGTTGTTGGGGGGATCATTGTAAGGGAGAGAGAAAAAAGTGGGTTTTGTTTGGTTGGTTGTTTGTTTTTCCCAGGGTCTTTTGACTTTAGAGGTATCTTGATTCCTTGAGACTATATGGCTTTTTGGGATCTCTGATTCCAGGACTCTGAGGAGTTGGTAGTCCTCAGTCAGGAGGAGTTGAGTTATAGTCGAGGAGGTGAGGGCTTGAACTCCTTGCTGCAACAGATTAGAGAGGAATTTTAAAACATAAAGACTGAAAATTAGACCTAGAACCATCATAATAAGGGGCCTAATAAATGGGGCTATTCGTGTTATTCATGTACTCCAAGGGCTCCCAAAACCTGTCCAGCCTGATGGTGGCTATCTGGCTCGTGATTCTATTCTTTGACAGCTGATAAATTCACATAGAAACAATATTTCTTGACTAGCATAGCATAGCATAGCATAGCATAAATCCCTCCCTTCTACCATAATTAGATCTTTTTTTTTTTGAGACAGGGTTTCTCTGTAGCTTTGGAGCCTGTCCTGGAAACTAGCTCTTGTAGACCAGGCTGGCCTCGAACTCGCAGAGATCCACCTGCCTCTGCCTCCTGTGTTCTGGGATTAAAGGTGTGCACCACCACTGCTTGGCTTCCATAATGAGGTCTAGTCCCTGTGGCTGCCAGGGAGTCCATCTGAGGGTGGAGTTTTTGTTTTCTTCTCTTTTCCTTCTTTCCTTCCTTCCTTCTTTCCTTCCTTCCTTCTTTCCTTCCTTCCTTCCTTCCTTCCTTCCTTCCTTCCTCTCTTTTTTTTAAAGACTTGCTGGCAGTGGTGTCACGTGCCTTGGGAGGCAGAGAGAGAGAGGGCTCTCTGTGAGTTCAAGGTCAGCCTGGTCTTCGGAGAGAGTTTCAGGACAGCCAAAGCTACAAAGAGAAACCCTGTTTCAAAAAACAAACAAACAAAACCAAAACAAAACAATATAAATAAATAGATAAGTAAATATTCATGTATTTTGTCTGCATGCATGTCTGCACACCAGAAGAGGGCATCGGACCCCATGGGACTACTGCTGTAGACAGTCGTGAGCTGCCATGTGGATGCTGGGAATTGAACCCAGGACCTCCAGAAGAGCAGCCAGTGCTTTTAACCACTGAGCCATATCTTCAACCCCAAGTCTAGAGGGTTTTTTTTATGCTGTCCTGTACCCGTGTCAGATCAGCCTTGATTTGTTGAGTGAGTTGGTTATGTTGAACTTGTTGGAGTTAAAAGGCCATTGATCCCTGGCTCATAACCCCTGCCATAGTTTCTTAGGATGCCATCATTTTTGGTTTGGATAGGGGTGAGCTGATGGTTTGTTTTAAAAAGAATCAGTAAGATTGGAAGTGGGAGGTAACAGGGAAGAGAGTAGCAGTGAATAGGATCAAAATATATTATATATGTGTAAGAAAATTTCATAGTGAAACTCATTATTAGTAGTAATTAATGTAGGCTAATGAAGCATTTAAAATGTTACCTGTCATTTATAATCCTAATCACTGGTTATTTTCATACTCAGTATTGTTCATTATTTGGATAAATCCATCTGATCTTTTATTTTTATAATATATACAATTTTGTGACAAAATGGAACCATTTTGTACATACCACTTTTTTAGCTTTTTCTTTCCACTGACGTTCCTCAGAATCAAAGAGATGATGCAACTCACTTTTGGCAAACAGCTACTATGTGGGGACCAGGGCCTTTGTCCCTAATCTTCAGATCCCAAAAGCTTGGCTGGTTTCCCCCAATTTCTGCTGCTGTCACACAACCATGCCAACAACATGGCATTAAACTATTTGCCAAGTAGTGAAGACATCTCACCCAGAAATAGGTTCTCTTTCTGAATACAGTTAGAGACAAAGTATTGTAGAACTCTATAAGTGAGGGTAAGCCAGGTGTGCATGTCCGTAATCATAGCATTTAGGAGACAGAAACAGGTGGATCTCTGGGAGTTCAAAGCCAACCTGGTCTACGTAATGAGTTCTAAGTGAGACTCTGTCTCAAAACAAACAAAATGAAGGTAGTTTACCCATGTACTAAAGCTCGTTTATGATTGGTATTCTTTATGTTTTGGTTCCTAGCTTGAGCAGTTTCGAACCTTGCTTGTCACTTCGGAAGGGGAGAAAGAGAAAAGAATGGTGGACAACTTCCGCCCGCTGCAGCCACTGATGAACCGTACTGTTCGCTCGTCCTTCCGCCATGATTATGTGCTCAATATACAAGTGAAGCCCAAGCCAGCAGCCAACCAAGTCACCCCCTAAGATGTTCATATTTTAGACAGCATCTTCCTTTAATGTATATTCGCTTAAAATCTTAACTAGATTATTTTAAAATGCTGCATTTAATAATACTTATATGTATACATTTATGTTTCTTTCCTTCCATTTTTGTAACAACATTTTAAAATTCGTACCATTGTAAAGCAAAGACTTGGAGACAAAACAATTAAAAAAAAAACCATAACCAAATAACATCAGGTTACCTTAGGTTACCTTTCTTTGTGACAGGATTAAGGCGGAGGAATCTTCTTTACATCAATTGAAATGGCCAGTTAGGGATTTTGATGTTAAATTTCTCTGATCTCTGTTTCTCAGAAAGTCAAAGAAGGTTTAGTTTCTGCTTGGTAAAATGGAAGTTTATTGTAAATAATCCATCTTGATTTTTCTGTTTGGGCCCTAATACAGGAGTTTAACAAACCCACAGCAAGAGGTTCTTGTGAATTTTATTGACTGACATCAGTCTTTTGTTCAAACTGTTAAATTGTCTCATCTTACAGTATTGGTCCCAATCTTAGCTACCATCATTTGGAACTGGTGACCTCAAAGTGGCATTCAAAGGTTAGGTGTGCATTTATTGATTTCAGAGTATTTCATCTTTTTTTTAAGATAAGGTTTCTCTGTGTACCCCTGACTGTTCCATAACTTACTGGGAGGTGGTAGAACTGTAGAAGGTATGGCCTGACAGGAGGAAGTAGATCACTGAGAGTGTGTCTTTGGATTCGGGCTTTGCTCTGTCATGGTTGAGTTCTGTTACTTGTAAAAGGAATGGCGGGCTGCTTCCCACCGCCTGGCTAGCTCTCACTTATTAATTAGACGCCACTCTGTAAATGGAAGGAGCAGGCTGCGTTCCTGCCACCTGGCCCCGACCGCCTGGCTAGCTTTACCTGAAATAATCACGGAAACTGTATTCATTTAAACACTGCCTGGCCCATTATCTTTAGCCTCTTATTGGCTAACTCTTAAATATTGATCGAACCCATTTCTAATAATCTGTGTAGCACCACGAGGTGGTGGCTTACCGGGAAGATTCTAACTTGCATCCATCTTGGAGAGGAGAGCTATGGCATCTGCCTGACTCTGCTTTCTTTCTCCCAGCATTCTGTTCTGTCTACTCCGCCTATCTAAGCTGCTGTCCTATCAAAGGCCGAGGCAGTTTCTTTATCAACCAATGAAAGTAACACATAGATAGATGACCCTTCTCCATCATTTCCCCTTTTTCTGTTTACTGTAGAAATAAGGAACGGTGGGCTGCATTCCCACCCGGATCCCAGCTAGCTTACCCCAAAATAATTAAACGGAAACTATATTCATCTAAACACTGCCTGGCCCATTAGTTTCAGCCTCTTATTGGCTAACTCTCACATCTTGCTTTAACCCACATTTAGTAATCTGTGTAGCACCACGAGGTGCTGGCTTACCGGGAAAGATCCTAACCTGCGCCTGTCTCGGAGAGGAGAGTCATGGCGACTGCCTCACTGCCTTCTTCCTCCCAGCATTCTGTTCTGTTTACTCTGCCTACCTAATTTTCTGTCCTATCAAAGGGCCAAGGCAGTCTCTTTATTAACCAATGAAAGTAACACATAGACAGATGATCCTCCTCCATCAGTTGTGCTCTCTGTTTCCTGGTTGCTGAAGGGAATAGTTTTACTCCACCAAGCTCTTCTGCAGTGATGTACTGCTTCATTCCAGATCCAGACACATGGAACCACCATGGACTAGAACCTGTTAGACTTCAGACTAGGCTGCTGCTCAAGCCACAATACCTGCAATAGTCCCTCTCGTTTTGCTAGCCCACAGATACTGACAGGCAACCTATTGACACCAATTCTATGACTGTCTAACTAATGAACTCCCAGGGGTCTGATTTCTTACTTGAGGGATTTGCAGACTCAGAAACATCAATGATATATGGGTGGCTACCAATAGCACATACCACCCTCCTCATCCTCTCCCCTGTCATCTACTGGGGGATCAGAAAGTCTGGCTGAGGGCTCATGCTGCAAGCCTTTTCTACTTCCTCAGAGAGCTATAAGGAACCCCCACTCTGTCTCCTCTCTAGGACCTGATTTCAGAATCCCATCATGCTGTTTATTTGTCATGATTGGGGCCTGAAATCCTGAGTCCTGGTTATGTGGCTATTTGTCTGACTGCCCTTAGAATTAAAAAATTTGAATACATATTTTTTTAGCCCCAGCAATCTGTCTTAGTGCTCTCCTTACCTCCCATACCTAAGACTTTTAAAACATTAAGTCAAAAGAAATAACTTCCTTCTTTAAACTGTTCCTCTTCTTTCAATTATTCATTATAGTAACAAAAAGTCTAACATAAATGGATGGAGTGTTAGCATTGCAGGATGAAAACGTTCTAGAGACCGGTTGAATGTGAATATATTTAGCATTATTGAACTATATACTAACAAAGACTGAGGATGGCAAATACTAAAAACTGTTAATATGGAAGTAAAATAAATTAAGTTTTAAAGATAGTTTGGTGGTATACATACATATCTTGGGGATATCTCTTTTCTAAAGAAAAGTAGAAGCAGACTTTTGTGCATGTCTTGCAAAAGATGCTTAAAGTGATTAAAAGCAGGTGTGATGGTTAGTTCCCATGGTTAGCCTGACCCAACTTTGAATCACCTGGGAAGAGAATCTCATTGAGGAATTGTGTAGAGCAAATTAGCCTGTGCACATGTCTGTGGAGGAAACCTAGTGTACCGTGGGTGCCACCATTGCCTAGGCAAGGGATCCTGAATTGTGTAAAAGTGAAGAGCAAGCTGAGCATTAAGAAATGTGCATGCATTCCCTCTGCTCTGGACTGTGGCAGTGATGTGACTAGCTCTCTCAAGTTCCTGTCAGCTTCACTTCCCCACAATGATGAACTGTAGCCTGGAATTGCGAACTAAAATAGACCCTTCCTCCTCTAAGTTATTGGTCAGAGCGCTTTATTACAGCAACAGAAATGAAACTAAAGCATTATGTAAGGTAGAGGGACATGGCTCAGTTGGTAAAAGTGTATAAGCCTAACGTAGGAGTTCTGACCCCAGGAACTTACATTAACACACACACACACACACACACACACACACACACACACACACACACA